GTCAAGATACTGTATTGCCTTATATATGTCAATTTACATATTTTGGTTGGCTTCACAAAAAAGTAAACATAAGTAATCTCAATGAAATAAAATCTACTGAACTGAAATTTGTAGTAATCCAATACACTTTCTGCACTTTTAGAGAACACAGTCCCCTCAATGTCCATGGAGGAGTCAAACATTTAAGTGCACATGTGAGACTTTCTCTTGAGCACACTGTGGCCTGTTCAAGAAAACAGCTGGTACTTACATAAGGTCGAGCAATTTTCACAAGACAATGGAGTACCATTTTGAAATAGGAAAATCACTTGATTGCTTAGAAAACTAAGGGTCTTGCAGCCTTTTCTCATTTTTTCTACCAAACAACTGTTCCAGTTTGAAGTGAAGTGATTCTTTGATCATCACTAAATGCCAATTACACATATTGTTAGACTAAACCACTTGCTAGCGAGAAAAGCAAGGGTCACAACACCCTTTTATTTCTTGATTTCCTGACCAAATAATTGTTCTAAATGTGATAATCAAGTAGATGTCACATAAAGATAAAGAAATGTATACATTATATAATGAAATATCACCAAAACTGTTGAGAAAGCATGAAAAGTCACTTCCTTTCAGTCACTGAATTTTAAACCAAATGACTGCTAAATACATTTTGCCTGACAACACCACCTGACAGCTTGGAAAACAAAGGTTGCACAGCCCCTTCAGTCATTGGTTTCTTGACCTAGCTGCTTTTATAGCAGTTAATCCCAATTATAATGATTAGGAGAATGTCATCAGTGTCTGCATACCACTGAGCTTTCTGGTACCTCTTCAGGTGCTTCCTCATCTGGCTTTTTGAACAAATATAGATAAACTTGAAGATAGCTTTTATATGTAGAAACATCTGTTAGCCGAGTTCTTGCACAGATCTTAAGATTGGCAGTAGAACTTTTGTTTTAAAGGAGCAACATAGTAAATTATTTTCTTTCCACGCTGATTTCTCCAAGCCCGTTCCCTTGGCTGTGGTTTCGCTAGATAGTAGATAGGAACAGTGGGAATCTCGTTAATCTCTCCTTGCGCTTCACTAATTAGATGACGAGGCATTTGGCTACCGATATATAAAAATTACCCATTTTAATGTCAGGGTCGACAATGTCAATAGATGCCAGTTTGAATCATCACAGATTCAGGGGGTCATACATCTGCCATTGCCCGTGCATCCGAATTTCTTCACTTTGATATTCAGCACTGGACAGATGTCATTGTCCGGTTTGACGGGTTTTCCTTCCCAACCTGGGGATGACTTCCTCTGCCATTGGACATATAGTGGTTGGCAAGGCCACCATATGGGTTTGATGGGTTTCCCTTCCCATCTTGGAGATAACTTCCCCTACTATTGGTCATATAGTGGTTGGCGAGGCCACTATACGGGTTTGATGGGTTTCTCTTCCCAACCTGAGGATGACTTCCCCTGCCATTGGACATATAGTGGTTGGCGAGGCCACCATACGGGTTTAATGGGTTTCCCTTCCCAACCTGGAGATAACTTCCCCTGCCATTGGACATATAGTGGTTGGCGAGGCCACTATATGGGTTTGAGGGGTTTACCTTCCCAACCTGGAGATATCATCCCCTGCTATTGGACGTGTAGTGGTTGGCGGAGCCACTACACAAATTTTTTGTGTTCTCCTTCACGGTTGGAGGTTTTGGTTATAGGACTTGACTGTATCCAGCCGTACCACGAGGAGGTACCTCCAAAGGACAGTGTGTGCAATGTTAATGGCTCAAATGGTCGGTTCCGCCCCATCCTAGGATAGTTTGGGTCTCCTCCCATTAAGAGAGTCATAGTTACTCCCGCCGTTTACCCACGCTTGGTTGAATTTCTTCACTTTGACATTCAGAGCACTGGGCAGAAATCACATTCAGGTGCTTCCTCATCTGGCTTTTTGAACAAATATAGATAAACTTGAAGATAGCTTTTATATGCGGAAACACCTGTTAGCTGAGTTCTTGCAAAGATCTTAAGATTGGCTGTAGAACTTCTGTTTTAAAGAGCATCATGGTAAATTATTTTCTTTACACACTCAGTCAGATCAACATAGGCCAGTAAGGCAATCACTGATTGGCATGTCCTTAAGTCAATCAGGAAATGTCACAGACCTACTGAAGGATGTGTAGATTGTATAGGAATTTTTTTTGGCAGCAAAGGACAGGTTTATATGTTTTAATAAAGGTGGCTTCCAAAATATAGAGATGAAAGGTTGACAGACCATTTGCAATAATTTTAAACCTGCTATCCATGTAGTTGTCAGCAAAAGTTGGGTTCACTAGTAAATGCTGACCAATTGCTGTTTCACATTTTGGCAGTAGAACTTTTGTTTCAAAGGAGCGACATGGTAAATTATTTTCTTTCACACTCTTATTTCTTATAGATGTGGGTACATGTTGTTTAATTCAACAATTGATTTATTAGTTACTCTAGTGATGTATGATTCACACAGAGGGTAAACTTATTGCCACACAAGTAATGTTGATAGTACTTAATGAAGACTACAGCTGCAAGCAGTTATTTTTAATTTGTGCAGTATCAGCATTCCTTAGATGTGGGAGTATAGCTGCATATGCTATCAATCAATCAGCCCCATTATGCAGAAGCAGCAGTACTGTTCCATTTTTACTATCACTGACACCAGTACCCAATAACAACTCAAAATCCTGTCAGAAGCTTCCACAAAAACATGCTTCAAGTAAAGGAGAAATTCATGATAAAACATCATTCAAAGGAGACGAAACCAAGGAAACTTTGAACTTCTTGTCATGGGTTGGAGCCAGCCTTATGCAACCATTATCTAGGCAAAGTCTCTTCAAACTATACCTACTATACGACCAAGAAATTCTACTTGTGTATATTAGTGCATATTCACAGGGTTTCAATTTTAATTGAGGTATTCTAATCTGCTGCAAAATAATGGACTGGCTCACAACAGCAGGCTTGAATGTTTGGCTACATGGCAAGACATCATCCACATATACTAGGCATCTCTCCAATTGCAGCCTTTTAAGTATAAGCTTCATAAGCCTCTCAAAGTTTCCAGTGTTACACAGGCTGACTCGGGACTCAAAACCATTTTGAATGCTAAAAACAGTTTTGACCCTGCTATTATCATAAAGTTCCAATTGTCCGTATCTGCTGGCCAGATCTACAGTACTACCTTCATGGAAAGGTTCCCTGGCTTGCACCAGATTTTCATCCTCCTCACCTGTGAGCACCTGCCTTTGACAAAAAGAGTTCCTTTTGATGGATCTCATTCACCAATGGCATCTCACTTGAGACTCTTGGTAGGCCTGGGAGCTCCCTACTGTCCTGCTAATCATTTATCTTTTTTTTTTGCATGATTGCCCAGCATCTAACCTGCTGGTGACTATTATCTTGCAGCAGTACATTATGTCCGATCCTTGACTTGGCAGTATGCTTCCCAGCATAGAGAGGCTCTTCACTACTCCACTGACCACCAATTTTCTCAACAAATATCCACTGTATCACCTAGTGGCAAAACAACTCATGTTGGTGGAATTCACTCACCAATGGCACTTCACTTTTCTCCTTACTTCTCACTCTCCTATAGTTGACAAGTACCTAAGGTTTCTTTAAAGACTGCCCCACCCCTCTTCATCTTAGATGCCTCGGGCTGCACTTCATCCCAATTATCCTCAGTTATTTGGGCTCCACTATTTCCAAGGATTAGCCTCATGGAAATGACTTTGTTGGTCTTTCTGGGTTAACCAGATGGAACCTGTTCTCTTTCCTGTGCTTGTGGCTGAAGGGTGGTGGCTTCTAGGTCCAAATTCCAGGGGAAGACTTCCCTTAAGGTCTAGTTACTTTATTTGCATGCTGCTTTGCCTCAGCTCTTGACATGATCTCCCCCAACTCATACATCTTCTACGCAAACACAGACTTGGGGTACTTATGGGGAGTTAACTAGTCATACACACAATCAGAAAGAGGAAAAACCTCCCCAACAGCAATATTCTCAGTCGCAGCACCAAAATTTCTCCACTATCTATGGTATACTCTAGCACACAGATTTCCCACAAAGCTGCAAGTTAAAGCACACTAACTGGGGTTTTATCACTCTCTTTCTGAACTCTGACATTGTCAACAGAGTGTACACATGCAAAAATGTCATTTAATTTATTTAACTATTTACCTTCTTAAGGTTTTTTAATTACTACTAACATTCTATGCTAATTTATAAATATAAACTATAAATTTACATTCTGGTTGAGTCAAAAGGGGTCAACAACATGAACTTATATGAAAGCAATATATATTTGGATTTCTAAAAGATGGTCAGTTGGTGTGATGAATTTTGCTCAAAGCCCCTAAAGGGCTATTTGTGCTAGCTATCCTTAATTTTTGACGTGCTAGACTAGAGGGAAGGCAGATAGTCAACACCACCCACCATCAACTCTTGGGCTACTCTTGATTATAATGTTATAATGCCCCCATGACTAAAAAAACAACAAACATTCGACAACAGGTTTTGATCAAGTGCTAGTTTGAATTACTGGAATGTTTGTAAAGCACAACTGGATTTATAACACCATATCTGCATTTTACTGAACTCAATGATGAAGCTGAAACAGCAACAGAGAAAATGTATCATTCTAAATTAGGACTATAGTGATTACCCATGTCTGAAATGTCATTATTGGTTGTATTCTGATATGGTTGGACCAAAATAAATAATGCTCTATGTCATTTTGAATAATTTTTATATATTTTTATTAATTACAATTTTCACTATGATACAAATATTTTGTTAAAAATAAACTATTTCCAAGTTGGCAATAAGAAAGGAATGATAAAGAGATCTTGAGTATGAGTCTTTATGTATAATGTTTTTATTTTCAGAATACAATTATATTACCCATTTGACACATTAAACAGACTCCTACTATAAAATCATGCAATTACTAACAAAGGTTTATGCAGTCACAATAGTAATACTTACATTCAGAGCATAAGACAGAGACAATCCTACGATCCCTGGGTTCAAACTGTCTCTTCCAAATACAGCTAGAAGTGATGCTGCTAATACAATGATTGAGCTCAAGAAGTCTAGACGAATAGCGAGCCATCTGCAATATTTGTTACACACACACACACACATATATATACATACGACCTCTAAAAATTTAAATCTAAATAGAACAAAAATAATGTCAACTGCTTATTCCAAAGTTTAACCTATCCTCCTATATAAAATATTCATAGTTATAAACAGTTTATCAGTATTTTAAGTTGGTAAAGCACAAGTAACACCACACTTTGTTTCTATGTAATATAATAATAGATTTTTTTTGAATCGTTTAAACAGTTGTTCAAACAGGTAAGGTCAAAAGGGAGACTGACCTTTGATTCAAGTACTACAATAGTTGATTATGGATTATAGTCCTGCTTGAGGCAAATAATGTTAAAGACAAAATTCTAATATGCATTTTCTTCATCTCTATATTACAATAGCTGATTACATAGTACATGTTAATAATTCAAGCAGATGATGTTACATATAAATTATTATTCTATGTTCTTAGGTGCATTATTTAAATAAATAAAAAACATTTAGTATACCAGAAGCATGACTGTAAAAATTTAAGTCATAAATTTCAGCAAGGACTGACATTGAACATGTGCAAACCCATGAATAATTAAATACAGTAGATTGGGCTAAACACTCGGTGAGTGTTTTAGTTATATACCATTCAAAAGGGCAATAAAACAATAAAATTAAGTATAAAAGAATTTATAAAATGTTACAACCATAAAATATTTAGGGTAAACAAATCCAGTTTTGAGTTACAATCTACAGTCATTCTAGAAAGAAAAAAACTGGAGGATACACCATCAAAATTTCTCATGTTTGACTTTTGATAATTACACATGTAACTAACAAATATTTCGAGTATATTTCATATACTTATGAAGCTTTCTCTTAAACTCACTTAAATTTATTGCCTCTACAACATCTCAAAAACACCCATTCTAAAGGCCAACCACCCTGTTAGAAAAATAAAACTGTCTTAGCTGAAGATGACTCTTACCTTGCCCAAATTTATATTAGTATCCCCTAGTCCTACTATTCTCTTTGTTAAATATAAAAAAAGATGATACATCAACACTATCAATTCCCTTTACAATCTCAAACACCTCAATCAGATCCCCCCTAAATCTTCTTTTTTTCAAGAGCAAATAATTTCAAAGATTTCAGCCTCTCATCATATGACAACCACTCCATCCCAGGCACCATTCTAGTAACCCTTCTCTGAACCCTTTCCAACAATTCAATGTCTATCCTAAGGTAAGAAGCCCAAGACTGAACACAATATTCCAAATGTGGCCTAACCAGTGACTTGTACAATGAAAGTATAACCTCTTTAGACTTGTATTTAAGATTTCTATAGGTACAAC